TATATATATATAACTCTCCCCCCACTACATTTGGTACAAAGAATAAATCAATCTCAGTGGACAGCAATTTCCTCTCCAGGTGGGCTTAACATCAGATTAATGCTGGAGGTGTCAAATCGTCTGCATCAGATGTGGACTCCATTCCTACTCTGTTGATTTCAAACCATCTCATTTTCTGAACGTAAGGCATTAGGAACAGTGGTGGTAAGACAATATATATTCTTCTCCTATAGTATCTGTACAGTTCATATATATAAGAGCAGCCCTGGCTCATATGCGGAACATACAAGTGCACCTTTAGAGCAACAGCCCCTTTAGGCTGCGGTTTGATCGTCAAGTGGTTTGCCCACTAGGGAGCTGCACAAGTTATTTCTGGTGGGTGACAGTAAAGCCCGACTGCAACGGCACAACACAGCCTGGGTAACGCCGCAACACGCACCCCTTCTAGAGGGAGAAAGGCAGCTGCCTCCATGGAAAAAGAAAAAAGAATGGCCTCATTAAAGACGCTTCCGCTACACACTTAGCTGTAAGCTTTCCATCACATTTTACAGTCTGTATTCAAAGGGCTTGTGGAGAACCAGTGTCTCTAGACCAAGACAGGAACTGCCCAGGGTTCCCTTTCTCTGCCTTAGAAATGAAAGAAAAAAAAAAAAAAGAATACATACAGCAAGATGAGTCTTTTGGAAAGCAATGCTCGTGAACTAAATGCATTTCCAGTGTACTTTAAGATGGTCTTAGGAATAGGAAATTTTAGCAAGTTTAACATCTAGCTGCAGGAGCAATTCAAGCTGCTACAGATATTACAGACCTGATGATTAAGCTGCCGAATTACCTGGATTGCAAGAATATCACTGTACATGGTGTCATTAACCTGCCACACATTAGAGAGCTCATAAAAAAACCCGCAACCCTCACACCGCATTAACATTGTCCTTAAAGAACTGCACTCTAATGCAAACATTAATTGAGTAATAAGCATTCTGATTTCTTTCTTTTGCTCTCTCCCGTTCTCTCCTGGATTATACTTTCTGCTTGAATGGAGTCTACAGACCCTTGCTGTGATTGCCAATTATATGAAAAAGGGCTGAATCCATTTGGATGGCTGGTAAGAAGGAATGTCTTGATGAAACTATAACCACATGCACCACCCTCGAAGCATCTGCCCTCCAATAGCCTACAAAATATCCACCTCCTGAGCGCAATGGCAGTAATGACCTATCTTGGTGAGCTGAACATTTAAATAATTTCAGCTGCTGCGTGGCACTTTGGGAAAAAAAAAAACCACAGTTCCCATCGTGTTACTCTGTGAAGCTGAAAATGGAAAAATGTTTAAGAAGCAGGGGGGGGGAAGAAAAAGAAAGGGAAAAATAGAAAATTAAAATAATTGCAAGGTTTGACTTGCTCACATCCTCCCAAACTGCAGCTGCAACCCTGCCACATGCATAGCAACTGCAGAATGTGTTGATACAGGGACTCTTCTGAAGGTGAAGCTCGGAGACGGCTTTAATTTTACAATGGCTAGAGTGATCTTGGGAGCCAATGTTTTCTTCTCAATCACATAAATTAAAGCTGGGAAATCCCATCCTGATAGTCTAATGTAACAATTTTCACCCCCTGGGCTATGTACTTGCTAGAACTACTTTAAGTGAGGATTTTCAGTGTTGCTGAGAGGGGACGTGGAAATTCAGTGAGACGGGGTGAACTCTTTACGGCACGAGGCACAAAGGCATCGCTCCTCAAAAGGGGGTTAGGTGCCTGGGAAGAGCCTCCCTGCTACCAGTGCTCTCCTGCTTTGCTGGTGATCCTGCTTCACTCCTACCGCTCTCGCCCCAGCCGCGCTGCCAGGCAGGGTGAGGGCCGCTGAGCTGCTGTGCCTACTTGTGGGTTGCAGCAGGTTGCTTCAGACAAAGCTTCGAGGTTTGCATCAGCTCCTGCCCCCACTGCTTCAAATGTGAGTACGTCTTTTTAAGGACACCTCTCTTTCTCTCTCTTCCTCCGATCCCTCTGTTTCACCCGATGAGACCAGAGCAGAAGCAGGATGAGCTGCTAAATTAGAAAAACAGCTGCTGGAGATGATGGGCACCACTGAGCCTAAGGCATCCTTGTGGCAGTGCTAATGACCCCCCTTTATTACAAATATCCCTACAGCCTTCAATCACTGCAAACTGAAGTCGAACAAAGTAATTTAAAAATGGGAGGCTACTTTATTCTTGCCTTCTGGTCAAACCACCATAACGCAGGCTTACAGAGCCATGTTGGCTTTTCCTCGCAGGAAAAGCAATATACCTATCAAGAGCAACACAGTCTGTCTTCATCTCCTACCGGCTGCCTACGTGAAAGAGCCGAGCACACAGCCCAAGCTGGGCTTCCAAACAAGCAACTGCAAAGGAACAGCACTGAGAACCGATCGGTGTCAGCTTACAGCGAAATCTGAAATAAAGCGAAGACAAACAGGACTGCTGGGAACACGGCCAAGTCAATGGCCAAGCACGGGCATGGCAATTGCTAGAGTAAGATGCAGACGACAAAGCCAAGCTCAGGACCACGTGGAGCTCATGCGCGTTTCAGGGTGTACTTTTATCTCATGCTCAGTATTGCGACATTCTGAAATCCTTAGCATCAGGAGTTCATTATAAATATTTAGAAACACTGAATGATAACAGCGGTGAACTTGTTTCACATTGCTAACACATTGGATGTAATTGTACATTAAGCACCAGCAATAAGTTTCCTTTTTGCCAAACAATTATGTCAGACAAACATCTGGTTGTAGACAACATGGCTTCTGCATCAAACTAATACAGTTCTTATAGACACAGTCACACACATACACAAAATTACATTTCAAGGCTGGATATACTGTTTAATAATGCTACCGCCCCAATTTACTTCAATAGCTGCAGCAGCATTTGTTTGTTGGGTTGTTTTTGTTCAGAAAAATTAAAGAAATATTGGCAAACAATGCACATTACTCAGCTGTGTTACTATTTCATAGAGTACTGACTGGAAGACGCTATAAGAATGTGCAGCAGACTTTCTGGGTCATCTCAGACTATGGAAACATTCCTTAGAAAAATACCCTCCCCCTGCAAAGTCAGAATTATTCACTCTTTGAAAGTAAATGAACTAAAAACCAACAACAAAACAAGAGGAAAAATTAGCCCAAAGCATGGTGATTTCCTACAAGAAGAGCATGGCCTCTCAAGTTGCCTTTCTTGGCAGACGCAATCAGGATCAAAGCTAGAACAAAAAGAGTTAACACTGTCTCAGAAAAAAGAGAAGGAAGAAAGAAAAAAAAAGCCCATGGCTCTTGTGCAGCAATCATCACATCTTTTTTTCCAGTGATATAAACATCTTTGTTTGTTAGGCACTCCAAGTTCATGTCTCCGATGTTATTCCAACATTTACTTTTCTCAGTATCTCACTGCCTGTATAATTTTCTTTTAATTAAGACTGGAAACATTCTGGAAAGCTTCTTTGGGTAATGCACTTTGTTTGTGTGTTGTTTCTCATCAGCTGAACTGCATATTACCAAAGAAGGCTGCGGAGATTATTTCCTGTAATATGAAAAGATTCTGTTGAAGATACAGGGAACACTGCCCTAGAAAGTCACTTTTTTTTTCATAAACATAAAAAAATTTTCAAAAATTAAAAAAAGAAAAAGAAAAAGAAAACGTTCTTCAAGTTGTTGGCACGATGGAGTCCCGCTCAGCCTGTCTCATGAGCTGCGTGTCATCCAGTGCACCATTGCTACCCTGTCTCAGGAAGGATGCTCCTCACCAGACAGACACCCCTGCCCCAGGAGGCCACCTCTTGCCTTGCCTAGAGTGCACCCACGTGTCGTGTGCTGCTGCGTGGTGGCCACCGAGCCCAGCACACCGCCACCTCCTTGACAACGTCGGCCTTGGACTGCAACGTTGATCTTCCAGCCATAAACAGTTGCAATAGTAAGAGCCATCTCCAGCCAAATATCCACAAATCTCTGCAGAATGGTCCATATGCATTTTTGTCCTTGTAAGGAGATGTGCTGTTTACAAGAAATACAATTAACCAAAGGAAAAAAAAAAGACCCTACTGTACAATATTTACATCTAGAGGCTGGGCCAGTATTTGGTCCATAAAATCAATTAAAAAAAAATTTCATATAGGAAGTGATCCAGTCCTGTAGGATCTGTCCATCATCAGCTGTTGGTAAAGGTCCTTCCAGGGGAGGCCTCGGGCCTGTAGTCATATTTATTCAGTGTACTGGGATAATAGGTTGTCGTGTACACATTGGTTTGCTGCAATGGGTAGAAGTTGGTCCTATCATCTGGTATCAAGTTGTTCTTGTTAAGTGTCTGTAAAAGAGAAGAGGAAATGACAGGCATGGCACTGGTGCGACATAATTCCTCTTATCTACCTGCAGACACCTCCCTCTCACCTGCCTTCTCCATCACGGTCTCTGTTGCAGCCACCACCACCTTCCCTCCAGCTGGGAGAGTAAGACGGTATATCGTACGCGCTATGGGGCTTGTCTGCGGGGGACCACAGCTCCTGCCAGGTCTCCTTTGGTGGACCTGTGCTCAGCTACTGCTAGGGCCAGAACCCAGAGCCTTCTCCAGGGACCTGGAGTCTCCTGGTAGATGGCGTGTTGTCTGAACACCATTGTCACACAAATCCATGCTGGGCCTACACAAAACTTGCTGATTAATGACAGTGCTCAATCTAATCTCTTCCAAAATGCTCATGTTACAGCCTGAGCTCCCTCTCAAACCAGTTGCCAAACGGCAGCTTTTTCTCTTTGGAAGAGCAGGTGTGCATTTACCTGATCTCCATCTCCATTGGTAGATATCCAGGTTTGGACCCCCCGATATTAAGTGTGTCACTTCTGTAAGCTACAGTATAAGTAACAAATCATGGTCACTTTTGGAAAAACTAAAATGACTTAAAAAAATTTAACAACCACGTAACAATTGTTGGCAAAAACAAGACGAAAAATGAGAACCACAAATGCCCCTTTTACCATAAAAATTTAGATACATGTTTTTTCTCCCTCCCTTTCCCCCCCGCCCCTTCTTTGCTTTTTGCAAGAATTGCTGTTACTCTTCCCACCAGCAAGCAGATGTCCCCCTCCCCCAGATGAAAACCCATTGCTACACCAGCCATTACCTATGCACAAGGATAAAATTCCATTTTGGGGGAATACAATAATTTTATGAAGCTTTCTCCTTTATAGTCATCTAATTTCTATGAATTTGGCTGAGGAACATTTATGACAGTTTCTTCAACTAACCCCTGGCTTGAATTTGTTATACATATCTCTGGCCTATGTTGCTCCTGCATGCACCTTTAATGGTTATCATGCAGGGAACTCACTCCTTTGATTTGGGAGTCAACACTAGGCGTGTTTGCTACAGCATCCTCATGATCAGGGCACAGCACCTTTAAAGAGGGTATGAGCGTCTCTCCTGTCTGGAGCAGAGAGATGGAGAGGTCTAATCAGGCAACTAGTCCTGGGACCTCGTGGTTGTTCTGCCACAATCTGATGCTCCTGGGGGAACCACTTCACCTCAGCTCCCCCTTGAGATAAACAGCTCATATCCGACCCAGCTCAGGGCCAGATGAAAATTAATTAACGAATGCTCAAGCTCATGCAATACCCAGCTCCATTAGCTTTACTCGACCCATCCAACTTCAGCCACCTAAACTTCAGGCATCGGGGCTCCGTCGGCAAGGCAAGGAGAAGTCTCCTTCCTGCATGAAGGCAGATGCAGATGAAAATTGCCTTCTGGGGGAGCCCCTGTCCCCCCCCAGCCCCAGCAGCAGAGTGACCTGTTGACAGTGGGTGCCCGACTTTTAGGAGGCTATGGTTAGGTGAGCGGGGTCTCGCCTTGTGCACGTGCCCATGGCACAGTCGGGGCTTGGCCACTTCCCAACTGTGACCACTGCAATGATCAGAGATACCTCTAAGCTCAAAGACAACCCCACAGGCAGTATTTATCTCGCAATTTCTTTGCAATTGAGTAAATTTACTGCATGGGGAGGGGGAGAGGAGGAGGAAGAAAAGAAAATGCTTTCTCCTAAACCGATAGCAGACTGACAGCTACAGCTACCCTGGGAGGTCACACAAGATATTAGGAGGAAAGGCTTTCTTAGAGTAAAAGTGCCCTGGCAAAGAAATTTCCCAATTGCTGAATGACTGAGTAACTTTTTTGGAAATGAGCACTACCCAAAACATCTCATACATGAAAACCAGAGGAGACCCAGCCTCCTCCTGGTCTGACTGTGATCTCTGCCTGCCTGGAGTCTCTAAAATGAGCTCACAGCACATCACTTGTAGGAACCAAAGACAGAATTTGTATAGGCATGCTCAAAGTAATAAATATTTCCAAGGAATGAGAATTTGTGCCCGTCAATATGGAAGGAAGAGAAGAAATGTCATGCTTTGCTCCCAGTCACCCAAAGAAATATTAAAACAGTGTGGGTGACAGACTGCTGCTTTGTACTGGAGCCTGGAAAACAAGGAAGCCAGGCTCAGTCCTCTGCTTCTTGCTATGCTTTCTTGGGAAATCCAATTAACTTCTCTCTGCTTCAGTGTCTTCTGACCCAGCTTGATAAAAACAATCGAGATCCACTGTAAAAATGCACTTTGTTGAGTACTGCCACTGAGTATTTGGGGGAACTACTGTCTGGGGAACAACACAGGTGTTCATAGCAGCTGTGCACCATGACTGCTATTTCCTGTCGGTGTCTCTAGCCCAGGATACCCACTGCAGGCAGCATAACCCCACGGCCACGGGCTGCCACAGCAGGTGCAAGAGGCTGCTTCCCACTGCCACACTCCCTGGGCTCTATGAAGGTGGTCCAGTATCCAGGTCACTTTTTAGAATCATAGAATCATAGAATTGTTTAGGTTGGAAAAGACCTTTAAGATCATCAAGTCCAACCATTAACCTAGCACTGCCAAGTCCATCACTAAACCCTGTCCCAAAGCAGCACATCTACACATCTTTTGAACATGTCCAGGGATGGCGACTCAACCACTTCCCTGGGCAGCCTGTTCCAGTGCTTGACAACCCTTTTGGTGAAGAAATTTTTCCTAATATCCAATCTAAACCTCACCTGGTGCAACTTGAGGCCGTTTCCTCTTACCCCATCACTTGTTACTTGGGAGAAGAGAGCAACACCCACCTGGCTACCACCTCCTTTCAGGTAGTTGTAGAGTGATAAGGTCTCCCCTCAGCCTCCTTTTCTCCAGGCTCAACAACCCCAGTTCCCTCAGCTGCTCCTCATAAGACTTGTGCTCTAGACCCTTCACCTTTTGGAATGGTTAAGATTCACAACATGCCAGATTACCACATCTGAAATTTGATGACATCAAAATCCTGACTTGGGCTGGCTCAGGACCATCTCGATCTCAGGACTCTACTTTTTTGGCTTTCAGTTGGAAAATCTGTATGAGTTTCAATATGTCCCACGGTGTTTAAAACTAGCCTCTTAAAGCAGACTTAGCATTTAATTAACATGATTTGCATTTTTTTTCTCTCTTGTCTTACTTTCATATAACATTTAATTATGAAAAAACCCCACAACTGCTCCTTTGCTCTTTTTGATTTTATTTCTGATGGAAGGCTTATATGTTAGGGAAATACCTTATGAAAATGGTTTAGCAGAATTTATAATGCAATTAGCTGCAAAGAATTTGTCTCCGGAAACGCTGCGATGGCAGTACAGTCCTAAATCAGCATGATCAATGTGCACTGCCTTAACATTTCCCCACACAAACTTATTGTCTGTCTCATTTTAATAAATAGATTATTAGGCTCCTTGGCACTGGAAATTGGTTGATATTTTGAAGAAGGGAAATTAGGCAGCAGTGAATTTTAGAGATGTACACATACATACTCATGCAAGCCCCACAGAAGAGGTGCGCAGTTACATCTCTTTGGGTGGGCTCCCGTGCTGTTTTACTCAGCGCTGTAACCCTTGCTCTCATCCTGCAGTTCTTTGCTGTGACAGTACAGAGATAGCCAACGACTTTCTCTTTGGAAGATATTCCCCCAATGCTATATGGGTTATGTCATCAAGGTCAGAGCCTCCTGACAACTTGAACTCACTGGAGTTATTGTGGGGATGAAAACAGCCTGCTGCGCCCATAGGTGTTCCCACCGATATTTATCAGTCCCAACGGGAAAGGCCAAGAGTCGTCACCACAATACAACTACAGTCCATCACAAAAGCTAACACAGACCAGACCCTTGTTCACAGCCCAACTCCTACAAGTATCTCTTCACCTCTGAGCCAAGTTCCCAATACCAGAGTGGTCAAGAAGTCCATGCTGAAGATATGCCAAGTCCTCTTAGAAGGTACAATCCTTCGGTGCCTTTGCAGGGACTTATCTGCAGCTGCAGTAATGAAGCTGACTGAAGCAGCAGATCAAGCACTAGAGCTCAGGCTGTCCTCAGTAGAGATTTCAGAGAAAGAAGAAAGACTTGCCTTTGCTGCCTGAGCCCTTCTGCACTACCATCCGGCACCCTCAGGGAGGTGTGTCAGTCAGCTGGGCACTCACCAGACCTTACTGATGACAATTTTCCTGATATTTAACCTGTATTTTCCCTTTCTCGTTTTCTGCTTCCTCAAGTATCAAACACTAATGCCTCTCCCTGACTACAGCCACAACCTCTTTGGACTGGTTGCTGAGTAAGAACGATCAGAAGAGACCAGAAGCCTGATCAATGTTTACTGCTGAAACACCACTGGGTGCAAAATCTCTGTGCCATACACACAATGTATTTCAAACACCGAAGGAAACGTATTTCAGGCCCTCATTTTGATCCTATCCTGCCTTGAGAAGAAAGAAGCTTCTGGTAGTTGTGCAAGCATAATATTCCCCATAGAAAGTGAGGCCAGACCCTAAGCTAATATGAAAACCTGTGGGATGTGCTTAGAAAAAGTGCTCCATTCAACTAATAACTAGAAACTCAACATGCATCAATGAAATACTTTTATCTGCTTCCTCCCTTCCAGTATGAGCCATGCCATCCTGGCATATTTGATATCATCTATGTCTTCTGGTATGTTCACCACTAACCTCAATTCGAGAACCTGTTAGCAGAAGGTAAGCCACCAGCATGTGCTAACCCAACCAAGTGGATCACTCAGAAGCAGGCACAACTTCAGCTGCTTCCTTTAAAAGACCCTTTATTATGTTGCATTGGCGTATGACTAATATATACAAAAAATTCTCTGACCCAGGAACTCTGCTTTGTCAAGCAAGGATGTTTTCAAATGGACTAAGATGGATACGTTTTTAGGATAATGTAAAACAGCAACAGCTTTCTCCATTATATGTGATCTG